CCAGAGCTGCAGTTATTCTTTGATTCTGTTGGGATGGTCACGTGGATTTTTGTCTTTGTATTAGTTTTCTATTGCTGTCTTCACAAATCAGCACAAACCTACAAGTTCAATTGATCATCTTCCAGTTCTGTAGGCCAGAAGTTTGGTATGGGTCTTGCCAGGCCAGAATCCTGGTATTGGCAGGCTATGTTCCTTCCCGGAGATTCCGAGGGATAATCCCTTTCCTGTTTAGTTGGGTTATTGGCAGAATTCAGTACTTTGTGGTTGCAGGACCCAAGCCCCATTTTCTTGCTGTCTGTGAACTGAGGGCCGTTCCCAGCTTCTGGAGGCCACTACACTTTTTGGCTCCTGGCCCCTTTCTGCATCTTCCAAGTCCACAGTGGTGGCTTGAGTCTTTCTCACATGGCATTTGTCTAACCCACTCTTCTGCCTCCCTCTTCCACTTTTAATAATTTCTGTGGTTAGACAATCCAGGCTAATCTATGTATTCTAAGGTCAACTGATTCGAAGCCACATAGTGTCATCTGCAACTTTAATTCCCTATGGCAATGCATTCTCAAATTCTGAGGATTAGGACACAGGCAACCTCGAGAAACCATTTGTCTACCACACTCTCCTTTTCGGTTACTATGTATGGCATGTTCCATGATTGATTTTTTTTTTATCCTCACTTGAGGATATTTTTTCATTCTTTTTAGAGAACCAGGAAGATAGAGAGAGAGAGAGAGAGAGAGAGAGAGAGAGAGAGACATCAATCCATTGTCTTTTCATACATGCCCTGCCCTGCCCAGGGACCAAACCTGCAACCTGGGCATGTGCCCTGACCTGGTATTGAAATTGCGACCCTTTGTTCTACAGGATGACGTTCCACCCAACTGACTGGCTAGGGCATGTGGCTGCTTTTTAAAAAAAAGATTTTATTATTTTTGTTTTTAGAGAGAGGGGAAGGGAGGTAGAAAGAGAGGGGGAGAAATATCAATGTGTGGTTGCCTGTCTGATGCCCCCAACTGGGGACCTGGCCCACAACCCAGGCATATACCCTGACTAGGAGTCGAACTGGTGACTCTTTGGTTTGTAGGCCAGCACTCAGTTCACTGAGCCACACCAGCCAGGGTGCGTGGGTGATTTTTAATTGATGAAACAACTTTGCTTTGCTGGGGTAAACTTCTATTAATTGCAGTGAGATTCCCTTTTAGTACCCTGCTAGATTAGGCAAATGGACAAACATTTTGGGGGCATACTTTTGCAATAGAAGTCAATGGAATATTTGAAGCTAAGTGGAAAGTCATATATCCATCACTCCTTGGAGGGCAGGGGCAGTGTACAACTTGCTCACTTTTGGATCCTAAAAACCTGCCCCAGATATGGCACTGAGTGTGTGACTCAGGGGACCACTTGAAAGCATTGCCCTGTTGGTGGGAATCAGGTAACAGGTGGGGGGGTCACATGCCTGCCGTGAATAGTGTTAATTCTAAGATGTGTTGAGTACTGGTCTGTGCCAAGCACTGGGCTCAGGGCCCTAAGGGCATTCTTGACTTTTAATCCTCCAAAGACCTCCATAGTATTTTGTCAAGTCCATTTTCCATCCCGGTCAGGGGGGACACAACCAGGGAGGAGAAGGCAGAGGCCTAGCTGCACTCAGACCTTGAGCCCAGGAGCCGCTTCCTGGCCTCTGTGCTCCCGCCCCTGAGGCGCTTCTTCCCACAGTGTGCCCAGGATGGCCCTTTAGAGGACAATCCTCTTTTGTCAGCATTCTCCTCCCAGCATGGGACCTGGCCTTCCAGGAGATGTCAGCATCTCCCTGCAGCTTCTCTGCCAGGGGAGTTTCAGCCCCTGCAGAGGTGGCTGAACCTTAGCAAAGCTGACTGTGGAGCACTGCTGCTTAGCCCTTTTTTCTCCCCCTTCCTTTCCAGTAGGGCAGAACACTGAGGGTGGGATGGTAGGACCCTAAAAGGTGTGAGGGCGGCCTGGTGGAAGCCAAGGGCTGTGAGAGGAGTGGATTAGAGTCTAATGGAAAGGCTGCCCAGCAGGGTCGGAGTATGCTGGTACACAGGAGGGCTGTGCCAATAAGCAAATGTACCGAGGATGCTGGGGGTCAGGTTCTCCTGCCAGAAGGCGCTGTAGACATGGAACGGTGAAAGGTGACCGAGTTCTGGCATGGTTCCTGTGCTCTTGGACTGGCACTGAGGGTACTGGTGTAATCGCATGGTTTTCGATAGGCATACACAGAAGATCTGGGCTCTTAAACACTGTGCTCTCCAGTGAGAAAGACAAGGAATCCTTGGATAAATGACTGAATGAGTAGCCCTTTCAGTTTCCAACAAAACAAACCAAAGAACCGTGCATTAAGCGTGCCAACGAGGGGTTGTCTATACTGATAAACTATTTCTAGTAGAAGATACAGAGTCGAACCTTTATGCCTCTGACAACATCAGCGAACAGGGAGGGCAAGGAGAGAGTGAGGAAACAGGCAGACCAGTCCAGATGGGTGGGGGGGGGGCAGGTTTAATAATCCAGGGAACTTACATGCAAGGCTTGTCTTGTGTGGCTGCAAGAATCGCAAAGTTCATGTAGAGGCCTTGACTGGGTTCAATCACTAGACCGTCCAGATGGTCTCAGCACCTTACTCTCCCAAGGCTCTGTCCTTGCAAAGGCTCTGGCCATGGGAATGGCGGGGGGAACATACATTCCAAGGACAGGGGCGGGAGTAAGAAGCCTCTGATTTTACGGGTCCAGCTCAAGGGTTAACTGGTGGCCACATCCTCCCACTGACTTCCTTCAACAGGTGGCTGGGGATTGTAATGAGATGATGGCAGCAAACCAACCAGCGCACTGCCTGGAGCTCCACAGGGTCCCACTGCGTGCCAGTTCCCTTCATTTGGTGTTCTGTCCTTAGAGTGATAAGGTCTGAGGGCAAATGTTGTCCAGACCTCATCACCTTGAATGCTCACAACCCCCGCCCCCACCCCGAAGGCTTCTTACTGGAAGTACATGAGTGCACGTGGCTGGCCTGGCCACACAGTAGTTGGTGGAGGAGCTGGGCTCAGGGGGCAGGTCTTAGCCAGAATGGGGCGTGCCTGCCTGCCTTCCTCCCTAGGCCAGAAGGGTGGTCCTCCCTCATCAGAGGGCCTCGGAGCTCTGGTCTGATTCTCTCCCATCTTAGTTGTGCCAGGCTACATGATTCCTGCAGTGGGCGTGAGGCCATCAGGGGCTGACCAGGGCCATCGGGACAAAGGGGAGGGAAGGTCAGGGCACTGGCAGGGACTTGGGCCCATCCCTCCCGTGGTGGCAGATGTTGGGTCTCTTTTGCCAGGGTGCTTTGATCCCCGGGGAGCTCTTGGTGACAAGTGGGGAGTACGCCCAGGGCCCATACCCAGGCTTTGCTCCTCAGTGTGAGCACAATCCTGCATCCTCAGGACAGCTCCCTCCTGGCGCCTGTGGTCCTGTTTCGCTCTACCCTGGCCACTGAAGTCTTCCCCAGTCCTCCCTCACTCACCCTCTGCCCGCCCGCCCGCCCGCCACCCTCACCCCTACAGCAGCCTCAGAACCACTGGTCTGGCTTCTCTGGGGAGGCACCAGGGACTGGAGCTCCAATGGCACAGTTAGGGTCTAAGGTGGGGAAACGGTAAGCTTCTGTCCCTGCAGTTGGTCTTCTCCAAAACTCTGCACCACCTGGCCAGCAGAGAGGTGAGGGGGACCTTACCACTTGCTGCTGCAGAGGGGCTTCTGGTGAGAGGAAATGATGTGTGGGCAGACTATTTCTCCTCACTCCCCCTGAGCCTACCCTTGGGATTCAAGTGAATTAAGCACTTTCCAATACCTGGCTCTAAAATGAATGAAGACAAGACCTAGGTATTGGGTTATTCAAACAAAGGTTGTGAGTGGGACAATTGCCACCTGTGGGGCCAGGCCCCTGCTGCTGCCTTCTCCCCCCGGGGCCAGGGGGAGGCAGTGGTCCAGGTCAAGTGGCATCTCCAAGCCCCTCCTGAAGGGGCCCGACCCACTTACAGCCCTCTGAGGGTGCTCCCCTCCCAGCGATCCTGGGCTGAAGTAATGATCTCACCTGTGGCCCCTCTGCCCTCTAAGGCTATGGCACCACAGCAGAAACAGGAGGCTCCTCATTTTACTTACCTCATAGAACATGAGGGCTTTCATTTTTTTTTTAACTTACAGAGACAATGAGATTTGACACCAGAAAGAAGAACATTCTCTGACCAGTACAGAGTTAACACACGCGGAAAATTGAAAGCCATGTCATTCAGGTTGGTGTCCCTGATTTTGTAGAAGTTCCGCGGCCTGGAAAACAGACTGCAAATAAATAAAGTGCACTGAAAACCCGCCGAGCAGCCAGGGCCCGGTGCGGTTGGGGAGGGGTGGGAAAGCAGAAGCAGCTCACTACTCAAGGCCAAAATGGCAAGAAAAGCAGTGGCAGGGACACAGGTAAGGACCAGTCCCTGGCCCCTCCCCTAGCCATTGTCTGAGGGCAGAGACAGCCAAAGGAAGAGCCACAGAGCCTCCAGATGGGGTGGAGCTTCTCAGCAGGGCAGCAGGGCTGTGAGGCCAGGGGCCCTGGAGGCTCTGACACACATTTCTGCCTGTGGGACACAAGCACACGTTCAGGGAGCAGCCTCCCTCATCTCAAGCCTTCTCAGGCCTTCCTGCTCCCCAGCTGGCCCAGGAAGAGGATGCAGCTGGGGATCCACTCACCCAGAGGGCCTCACCCAGGTGAGACCTGGGCTTGAAAGGAGCCCATCTGTGTATCATCCCCAGGAAGGCCCCTGGTCCTCCTCCCAGCTTTTACAACCCCTGTTGCTCTGCTTTCTCTGAGGCTGTCCTGGGAGATCTATGCATGGAGCCAGCAGGCTGGCAGGCTCCCACAAGTGGTCCTGGGTGGACAGGGTTGGAATGGAGGAGGGGTCACCAGGAATAGGGACTCGCAGGAGACTTGGCACAAGGAAGGAAGCCGTCAGGCCCTGTCCATGAGAAACTGCTGGGGGGGCATGTGGGAGCCTTGGTCCAGCCTCAGTCCCCAGTCCCTGGGGTGAGCCAGGAGGAGTAATTCCCCCAGGACCCAGACTCCAGCTGGGCAGTTGAGTGGGGCAGATGCGGTGGCATTGGGCCACTCCGGGCCTGGGGCTGACCCCACTGCTGTGGGTTTTTGGTCCCACGATCTCTGAGTACTTGGGCCCAGAGCAACCAGTCACAGCAGATGTGGGACTGGGGGTGGGTGGTGAGGGCCGTGGTCTCTCCTGGCTCCCCTCTGGGCTGCTCCTGCCCATGCTGGAACACCTGTCAGTAGCACACCTGGGCCTCCAGGACCACTCCAAGCCCATCCAGAGGTGTCTCCCGTGTGATCCTGGGTGTCAGGAAGCCAAGCCTGGGGACAGAGAGATGCGGTCTTGTGTGGTTGCCAGTCCCCTCCCACCCCCCAGTTTGTCTTTTTACCTTCCTGGTCACATATTGTCCCCAGGGGCCACCCCCTCCTCTCCCAGCCAAGCCCAGAGGGTTGTGCCCAACTGCTGAGGAGCCCTTGGCCAAGCCTGGGATGGGCGGTGGGGGTTGAGGGGTGGGGGTGGGAAGACCTGGCTCTGTGGGGGAAGACCTCAGGTGCCCAGGGGATCCTGGGACTCATCTCTCTTTTGCCCGTCTCAGCTTAGACTATCCTGCTGGTCTTCCCAGTCACTTCCAGCACCTCCCCAAGGAGAGCTGGTTGCCCACATTTTCCTAACCCTGAACCTCTCTCTCCCTAGATCCCCTGGGAGCCCTGTGATTCCCCTGCCCCATCCCACCATGCCAAGTCCTCCAGGAGACTGGGGAGTGGGTGGGGCAGTGTAGGCCTAAGGAAGATTTAGCTTAACCACTTCTTATCTGTGTGACAAGGGCAACTATGCACTCCCAGAACCCCAGGTTCCGCTGTCATTAGGTAGAGAGAGTAGAACTCCCTCATGGTGTTGGTAGGAGATCTCAGTGCCCAGGTGACATGGTCCTTCTCCATGCCACAACCACACCCCTGGGTTACCCCACCTCTTGGGGCCTCTGCCTGCAAGGCCCTTCATCTCCTCCTCAGCCAACCCCTTCACCCTGCTGCTACCAGGAAGTTCTAGGGCCAAGGTTGGCTGGTGGGCAGAGGCTCGACTCTTGATGAGGCCAGAGAAGGGGCGAGTCACCAGCTACAGACACCAATTCCTGAAAGAAAGAATTGGAAACCTGAGAGTTGCCTCCCTACCCAAAGAGGTCCTCGGTTGTCCTGGTGTTGCCTCCTCTCCAAGCCCTTTCTCCATCTTCTCCCCCGCCCCCCCCACTTGAGAACTGCCCTCTGCTCAAGGAAATCCCCATTTCCCACATCCTTGGGGTTCACAGGGAACTCCTGGAGGTCGTGTGTGCCACAGGATGGCATTCTGTGGCACAGGGAGGGCTGTAGGTGGCAGAAGAGCAAAACTGTGGAGGACGGGGGCTGGGGAGAAAGGCACCTTTCCAGGCTTCCACAACTGCATCCTCGGAGAGGAAGGAGGAGAACGAAAGTGGCAGCAGTAGCCTCTTGGGAGGCAGACGGCATCCCCTGGCCCTGAAGACACAGTGCAGGGAGCTGCAGAGAGCCTGGGGCCTGAGGGCTGAGAAGGGGGACAACCCTGGGGGTTCAGGCTGCCTGCCCAGGAGGGTGGAGAAGTGTGGCAGCATCTTTTCTCCTCCAGGGCCTCCCCGTGGGCCACCCCAGCCCATTCTCCTCCATTTCCTCTGGCTCTGGTGACACCTGCTGTGCCTCTGGGGAAAGGGGACCTGGAACCTGGCCGTGGGTGGGAGGGGACACTGGGGTCTCCATGGGAGATGGGCTGAACTGCTGACAGGTGCGATGTCTAAGCTACATCTGCCCCTGACCCCCAGTTTGGAATCACGACAAGGGACTCTGAAGATCTCGAGGCTGCCCTGCCTGCCTCTGCTGGTTCCGCAGCTCTCTGGTCTCGCTTCCTCGGGCCCGTTCCATATTTTGTCCCAACCCTCAAGGGGCCTTGAAGTCTAAATGTTATAGCAACCGCCTCCCTCCAGCCCGCAGGTCCAACCTCTCTCTGGCCGCCTACCTTTATGGTCAGGCCAGTCAAAGCATGCCCCTGCTGCCGCAGCATTTCTTCTTTCTGGTTTCCCCCTTTTGCCAACATAAGGCAACAGGTCGGTAACGTCCTTGAACGCAAAGTCACGGCCCGTATTCTGAGTTTTTGTGCAATCCAGCACTGGACACGACGGGTGCGCGCAGGTTACGCCTGGGTCTGGCTTTAGGTGGCTCAGTGGCCAGCGTCCTTTCGCAGAGCTCAAGGGTCCAGAGGTCTGGGCCGCCCCGCCTCCTTTCCGTACCGCCTCCGGGAGATCTGGGCGGTTGCGCTGTCCTCCCTGCGGGCGGGTGGACGCACGGGCAGGCGGGCTGGCCCAGGACCCTCTTGTGGGTCGCTGTGGCCACAGGCGCTCACTCGATCCGCACTTGCAGGCGGACGTTGAGCATCACCGAGGCCACGATGTAGAAATAGGGGAAGTTCATGCGCAGCCTCCAGGCCAGATCAAAGAAGGTGAGAAGCGTGCGTGTGAGCCCCTTGCAGAAGACGCAGTAAGAGCCCCGGGTCGCTGCAGAGCGTGACAGTCGCACTGCCAGGCCCGACAGTGTCGCCACCGCTGCCACTGCTGACAGAGCTGTGGAAGCCGCCATGGGCCTGGCAGATGCAGACCTTGCCACCCGCTGGAGCACCAGTGGCCGGCAGGCGGGCGCCAGGCCTGAGTTCCGTGTATTCCAGCCCTGGGTCTGCTCCCTGGCTGGTTTCCTGTGGCCTCAGCTGCTGCAGCTACTGCCCCTCCTCGTAGCGCAAGAATAGCTCCGCCCTCTCACCACCATAGCTCCGCCCTTATCCTATCCAAGCGTCTTCCTGGAAGCCACATAGGTGCTGCAGCAGTTACAGCCTCGCCCAGGGCTCCAGCTCCTCAAGGAAGCTCTGCTTTTGACGCCACTGGCCGGCATGCCGCAGGGCCTGTGAAAATTGGAAGGCGCTGCTTCCCTGGAGGGGTGTGGAGGGCTGGAGGGCTGGAGTGCTGGAGCTCTGGACTGTCATGCTGATTCCATACAGAAGGCCCATCCAAAGGGCCCTCCTTTTCACACCACCTTCCACTGTCCTTTACAGAGTTTTCATAGCTTTAGGAACAACATATTACTACAAACTGCAATTCATGTACACCAAGGAGTTAACTCCAAGTTACTTGATGATTTCTCCTACAAATTGTTGCCGTAGCCTGAGCCCTGTGAGCAGATCACAAAACCAGGAAGAAATCTAGCTAGGAGTGGATCTCAGCTCTACTGAGCAGTACCCCTTCTCTTTACAGCCAGCTGTATAATATTATCAGGTGTAAGAATGAATACTTTTAAGAAAGAGGCAAGTGGAGAAGTGAAATATTATAATTTGGTCTGAGTCATCTTGACATCCCCAATCCTCTCCATAGGTGGCCTTGAATTGCCCAGGATATTAGTCTTTTCCTCATTCAATACTTCAAGTATTTATTGCACAAGGATTATCTGCCAGGCATTGTTCTAGGTGCTGGAAGTAAAACAGAAAAACAGCAACAAAATCCTTTCCCTCAAAGAGTTAATATTTAAGTGGGGAGAGACATACTATACATTTGTAAATAAGACTTTTAAGCTAATAACCAGGGACATAAAGAAAATACAGCAGGAGTGTGTGATAGAGTGTTTCATAGTAGAAGAAGAGAAGCTTTTCATAGAATTTGGTCAGGGAAAGCAACTCTAAGGAGGTTACATTTGAGGTGAAATCTGAGAAACTATGGGAAGGAAATAGCCATTAAAAAGCTAGAGGAAGACCCCTGGCTGGTGTAGCTTGGTGGATTGAGTGCGGGCCTGCGAATCAAAGGGTCACTGGTTGGATTCCCAGTCAGGGCACATGCCTGGGGTGAGCAAGAGGCAACCACACATTGATTTTTCTCTCTCTCTCTCTCCCTCCCTCCCCCCCTCTCTCTCTTAAAAAAAAAAAAGCTAGAGGAAGAGGCCTCCAGGTGGAGGAAACAGCAACTGCAGAGGCATTGAGGTTAATTTTGCCTAGAAATTGTTGATGAGGTCTTTGCCTAAGCGCTTTTTAGAGGATATATTTTTTTTCCTGCCAAGACAGATACAGGTCAATAAGATAAATGGATATACATGATGAAATTGCATGTTATAGTTGGAAGAGAGGGACTAGATAGATATACACACAGCAAATCTACAGATGAAGAAAGTAAGAAACAGTATGAAATCTACAGAAAAGCACCATTTTGGTAAAATGAAAGTACAGGCATGGGACATTGGAAGACAGGTTTTTTACTGTAGGAAAAAGAAGTTACAAATAAGTATGAAGGAAAGTGCTCCCACACAGATTGGCTCCTTGACATGGGGCCACACCTGCCCAGACTCACTATGGCAGCCCAGTAAAGCTGGAAGGATATGAGAGTGATGGCAAGTGTAACCGATTGTGGGAGGAGCCGGAAATGGGGCTGCAGAGGAAGATTGGTGCGGGGATTTAAAACTGAGCTGTGGCAGCCATTGCTGGGAGAACCACGCAGCTTTGGCTGAGTGGGGACCCCCACAGCTTTAGAAGGGGGAACCACCACCTGGCTTTAGCAGAGATCCCGGCAACACAGCTGATGGTGCCGGGAACTGAGGGAGGCCTACCAGCCAAGACGGATTACTGGGAAGAACCAGGGGCTGCCTGAGCCACGGACTTCTATTTCTTTTCCTGAGATACAGTACCCCAGACTGGGCAAAGGGGGAAGGAAGGACTATGTGTGTTTGTGGGTGTTTTAAGGGACTTTGGGATTTTGATGAAGACATTAGGTCACTACTTTAACTCTGTACAGCATTAAATAAACATTTCCTTTCCTTTTCACGAATCTCTGGCATTGCGAGACATCTTTCCTATAAGATGGCGGACATAACGAACCTGAGGGGTTCCTTTTGGGTAATAGTATATTGTCCCAGGCTCCCCTTTGTTGTTCTGTAACATAGGTTCTTTTGAATGGAATCCTTTCTTAATCACTACTATCATTTATTGAGTGTTTACATCATTATGCCAGCCAGATACTCTTCCAAATACTTCCCATGTATTCATTAATTTAATTAATACTTCTTGAGTGTTGACTAATATACTCTTCTGAGCACTTGGAATAAATCAGTGAACAGAAAGGCATAAACTTTGGTCCATGTAGAACTAACATTCTCATACTTTCAGGGAAGGGTAGATGATAAAACAATAAATAAGTAAAACATGGTATGCTGGAAAGTAATAAGTGTTATCGAAAAATATAGCAGGGAAGGTAGTTCCAGAGTGTTGGGGAGGGGTGGCAAGTTGTACTTTAGAATAGGGTAGTAGTTAGAGTAAGCTTCATTAGGGGGAGGTTAGAGAGCTAGTGAGGTAGATATTTAGAATAAGAACTAGCCAGAGTGAGACTTTGAAAGCATCCCATTTAAAATCAAGATCAAGGCAAAGGAAGGCCCTCAGACTGAAAGTTCTAACTAGGCATTTTAATGCAATAAAAATCAATATAAGGTTGGGAAAGGAGGATAGAAAACTGTTGTTCTTTACAGATAATATGATTTTCTACTTAGAAAGTATAAAAAATCCAATATTAATCATTGGAATTAATATGAGAGTTTAGCAAGCATGCTAGATGTAAAATCAATGTAAAAATCATTTTTATGTCTACCAAACAGTATAATAGAAAAGTGGATGGTTTGAAAGAAACAGTTCTTAGAGGAGTAAACCAAATTGCCAATAGATGCTGAAAAAATACTCAGCATCAGTAACTGGACAAATGTAGATTAAACACACAATAGCATGCCAATTCACGTATCTCAGACTGGCAAAAATTTTAATTGGTTATATCAAGAATAAGAGAGGGTGGGTGGTTCAACTCTTATCAACTGATGGAAGGCATATGATGCAGCCAATACTTTGAAAAACAAATTGGAATTAGCTGCTAGTGTTAAAGATGCACACACATTTTGACTCAGGATTCCACTCCTGGGTGTATACCATAAGGACAATCTTGCCCATGTACATTGGCAGACAAGTACTAGAAATAACTCATATGCATATCAATAACAGACCAGCCTGCCTGGCACATAATAAGCACCCAATAATTCTAGGAAGAGGAGCTGCATAGATGCAGAAATTACAAATGGTTTATAAAATGTCAGATTATTCAGCCTTCTACTCAAGGTGTGATTGAGCACTTTCCTTCATACTTATTTGTAACTTCTTTTTCCTACAGTAAAAAACCTGACTTGCAATGTCCCAATGCTCCAAGCTCCCATGCAGGTGCTGTAACTCGGGGGACCTGCCCCCCAGTTATGTCTTGGTGGGGAAGTTACTTCCATTCCCCTGACTCAGAGCATGGCCACAGCTATTAACATATCTATGTAACCAGTTAAAGGTTATAGATATGTTAAATGACCATGCCAGAGTTTAGCTGCAAAGCTGTTGCTATGTAAAACAGCTCTCAGTGGCCCTGGTCCATGTGTCCCTTCCCCCAACCCACACCTGTAGGGGGAGTGAGGACATCTTAATATTTCCTGAGCACCTTGAGTTCTGGACCCCATTCTAAATCCCTATTTGGGGCCCTCCTCTTGGCTGCACCCTGTTATACCTATGCACCCCAATGTTCATAGCAGCACAGTTTACAGTAGCCAAGTGCTGGAAGCAACCTAGGTGCCCATCAGTAAATGAGTGGATCAAAAAACTATGGTACATTTACAAAATGGAATATTACACAGCAAAAAGACAAAAAGGAGCTCCTACCCTTTGTGACAGCATGGATGGAACTGGAGAGCATTATGGTAAGTGAAATAAGCCAGGCTGTAAAAGACAAATACCATATGATCTCACCTATAAGTAGAACCTAATCAACAAAACAAAAAAGCAAGCAAAATATAACCAGAGACATTGAAACAAAGAACAAACTGACAGTAACCAGAGGGGAGGAGGGAGGGAGAAAACAGGGGAAAGAAGAGAAAGGGTAGTCAAGGAACATGTATAAAGGACCCACGGACAAAGCCAAAGGGGGGAAGGATGGAGGGTAGGATGTGGGGGTGGGTACGGTGGGAGAAAGTGGTGGCAGGGAAAATGGAGAAAACTGTATTCGAACAACAATTAAAAAAAGAAATCTATTAAAATGATCCTTTCCCCCCTCCTTTTACCTATTGATATGTTGAAAGATATTAATAAATTTTAGATACTGAAAAAAAATAAAGAAAGGATTTATGATAAATTAATTACTACTGGGCTCCATGAAAGGTACTGGCGATGTCTAATATGTTTCATGCCTACAAGAACACACACACACATACTTCACCCAGGCAACAGCTATGATTTATTGGTTTTGTTTTCATTTGGTTCTATTCTCATGTCCATATCCCCTTGCAGGCAAGGTTCCAGTCTTCTCTGAGAGGCCCTGCTATAAGATGGAGAAGCCAGAAGGATGCATTCCTTCACTGGCACTGATGGTGGCAGGCCACTGTATGCTTGAAGGGTGGGGGTTTCTGCAGCTTTCTTGGATTTCATATTTCCCTGTCAGTCTCCAGTTCTGGGGTATCAAGAAAGCCCTGGCTTTGGCACATCTTCCCACACTGTTCTGATGCCTTGTTGGTACCTATAGCATTTGACCTTAAACAGATTAGTCAGTATTAGTATCTACTTTCAACATTAGATCCTTCCCTTTAAAAAAAAATTTATTTATTTATTTTTTAGAGAGGGGGAAGGGAGGGAGAAGGAGAGGGAGAGAAACATCAATCGATTGCCTCT